AGGAATTACAGCATACTTTCTCTATTAAAAATAGTCAGTCTTTAGCATACATAACTATTTAAAAGCACGGAGTTAATACAGTAATAATTAATCATTTAATACGAATACCACTTTTAATTCCTTTGGTTCATATAGTTGGACTCTCTAGCTGTAACAAATTATAAAGTAAAATTTGTAATATAAAAATAAATGAGACATCCACCACTTAACATAGAATTGCTTTGGACCAGGTGTTCTCTAACTGATAACACAACCTAAGATGCAGCATGATACAACAACCTTGAAGTGTCTGTGGAAGCATATATCAGCAAAGCTGTAGCAGTACCACATAATTTCAATATTTAACATTTAAGGTTCAAATTGTCAATTTGGTTAATAAACATTCTAAAAGATAATAAAGAATTAAAATTGGAATAAATAAAACTTTAAATTCAGTCAGGGAAAAGTTTTGTATGGTTTACATATATTGACTAGGACTTTCATCAGCAGAAGTAAGCTTAATTTATTCATCCTTAAACGTCCCAGTATTTTATATAATGTATTTCAAAAGAAATATAATTATCAAGTATTATTAATTCATGTAATTGACTTAATTAAGATCAAAACAACCAAAATGTGGAAAGAAATATTTTTTACATTATTAAAGGAAATTCGTTGTCTGATTTACACATCATGGATGATAGATAGTCAAGTAACGACAATCAGTTTTTATTGTAAATGTTTCAACCCAAGCTTGTAGGTCATCATCAGGACATTTAATTTATTCATTTGTTTAAAAAAAATATTTTTTGCAGTATTTGAACACCTCCAGTGCTGGTAACATGTCATGATGATAATATACAAGCTTGAGTTGAAATGTTGGTAATAAAAATCTTAAAAACTGAATGTGTCTGATTAGCTATCAACACGGGCGGATCTATGGGGGGGGCTTTCGGGCTGAAGCCCCCCTCCACAAAATGGTGAAATATAGCCATGTTTTATCGAAAAAAATATTAAAAAAGTATCTCTTAAAATATTATTGTTTGTGTAATTACATTTAAAAGGGCTTTAGGAATCACTTAAACACCATTTCATACATGTAGTTAGTTTCTTTCTTTTTTTCCAAAGTAATTATCATTATTTTTATGAAAAAACAGCTTTCGGGCTGAAGCCCCCCCAAAATTAAATCCTGGATCTGCTAGTGGCTATCATCTATGATTTTTTACTTCAGCGGAAAAAAATATTCTCAAAATTTGCTGCCCAACATGTCCCTCCACTAGCCTCTGCCTATTTCTGATCCTTCAAATTACTTTAAAAAGACATACCTTATATAATACTACTAAATTATATAACATATTGACAAAATAAACAACATATTATAAGGATTCTGTTATCATTTGCTCGTGTAGATTGTTTTAAGATAACCATGATGAGTTTATTTATTATTATTGATGGTGAATGATACTTAGATATTTTTTTTATTGATTTTTATACCTTAACTCAACTAACTCATGACATGCACATTTTTAGAACTTCTTTTCTTCAAATTTTATAATGGGATAGACTAAATACATTATGTAACTGGTGTGTCTTCATATCAGAATCAAATTTTATCAGATGACCAATTATTATTTGGGTAAATATTTTTAATATAGAATTGACTACAGAAATCAGGTGATGTATTTCTCTATTATGTTCAGTTTTTTTATAAACAGAATTTCTAATTATTTATTTTTTTTTTTTTTGGAAGCACTTAAATTCAATGTAATTCAGCACTTGGAATTACTTTGGAAGCAAGAAATAAACTAAGTACCTGTATGAAATGGTGTTTAAGTAATTCTTTAAGTTGTATTAAATGTAATTAGACCAACAATAATACTTATAGAGAATTTTTTTTCATAAAACATGATTATATTTTACGCTTTTTTTTCTTCTCCCCTAAAGCTCTCCCTCTCCCTCCCCGTAGGTCCGCCTTACTATTTTCAAGCACAAAGGATATGTTGAGTTCTCAATAATTCCAGTTATTAGTATTTTTATAAATAAATTTGTTCCATATATATATAACAATATAGTAAAATATTTATTATTAATTTGGGATATATCCTTATAAAATGTAATTTACAAGTACATTTTAAATAAAAAAATAATCCAGTAGAAATGATTTCAGTTTATAATTCAGTGCAAAAGAGATGTAGATCACATTTTTTTTAGATCTTCTAATCATGTTTTGCAATAATGTCAGAATTTTCTCTTCTTAAAAGGAGAACTGAAGATAGTTTTTTATTTGTAAGTGTGAAATTTTGCAGACAATCAAAGTAGAATACAATACAATTTAATAAGTTGTTATATTCACTGTTATACTACAAGTTCAACTGATGCAAATTGAAAAAAAAATTGTCTTGGTATGATGAGAAATATAATTGTTGATTGTTTTTTTGTTAGAGATGTCATATTTTTTTCTTGAAATTCATTACACAAAATAAATATTAATTTGTTTTATTAAGCTTCAGTGAATTAACTCTTCCTCTAACGATGTCCTATTGATAACTAGTTAATAATTCGTTTTAATATTTCATGGCTATGCCTCTTTAACATTGACTTATATTCATGTGAAACCCTTTGTTCTTCATAGCTCCTTGTCAGTAAAATTATCCTGTAAATGACAGTTTAATGGTGATTTGGCTCTGAAGTAGATCCCCCACCCCCTCAGCTGAGCCTGGACAAAATAATTTAGTGGGTGGCATAGGGTTCTGAGGTATTAAAACATAATAGTGGAGATTAAACTTTACTCTAATAGACGCCACTAGCGAATAGATCCAAGCTCATACCGCTCATTAATCTGAACCAGTGTTGCCATCTTTATTGTTATATTTATCTATACTTTATAAATTATTTTAATTAATAAATAAGAAATGATAAAGTAATTTTCCTCAACAGTGGACCTCTCCCATTATTTTGTGTTTCCTTTTTGCTAATATGACTATTATATTGGTTTAAAGTATTATTTAAATGAAACTTACTATTAAATTGTAATAAAAAGAATTAATACTTAATACTTGCAGTATAATATAATTATGATTGCTTAAGAAATGTGCTCACAATAACACTAACAGAACTCGAACTTCATAGGGACAAATTCCTAAAGATATATTGGCATTTTTTCTTTTAGTTCTGTTTGCTAACGTAATACAATGCTGCCAAGAGTACTACTTTCGTAACTAATTACGCTCTTATAAGAAGTATGTATATTTCAATCTGTGGCGTACAGAGTATTACTTTGCATTTTTAACTTTTGGTAAATCCAGATACCTTTCCTTCCATAACAAACTGCAGAATCATCCGAATCCTCTCGTTTCAAACCTTGCTTCCTCCTCGATCCCTGATAACCCTCCGAGGCGTCTGAAAAGAAGATGGCCTCGGGATCTTCTAATATAGAACTTTAATTTGAGTTCTACCAATGGGTAGTTTCTCTTCATGTTGTACATGCCATGTTACAAATTTCTCATTTACTTATTGTATTCTCTATGTAATACAGTTGTAAATTCCATTGAAATAATAAAAAAAAAAAAAAAAAACTTTTGGTAAAAAAGAAATCCTCTTCCTTCGTATTCCCATAAATATGTAATTGTTGTATTTCTTGCAAGAAGTAATTACAGTCAATTATTCGAAATGAAAAGATGACTAGGCAGTACGGCTAAAGTCGTTTAAACGAAAGTGAGAATTCAAGTGGTATGAAATTAAATGGCTAATAAGAAATAACAAATAACATGCAAATACAATGTGCGAAGTAAACATTCTTCTTCTCTTTTTAAAATATTTAGGATCTAATTTATCCGATGTCTATATCTAAGATCTCATTTAAAAGACGATTGTCATGTCAACTACCACATACGTATTTTATTTATTTTTTCGGTTCATAAGTGACTCAGCACTAGCGGATCCAGGATTTAATTTTTTTGGGGGGAGCTTCAGCCTGAAAGCTTTTTTTTTTTTTCATAAAAATGACGATAATTACTTTGGAAAAAAAGAAAGATACTAACTATCTCTATGAAATGTTGTTTAAGTGATTCCTTAAGTCCTTTTAAATGTAATTACACGAACAATAATACTTTAAGAGATAATTTTTTAATATTTTTTTCGATAAAACATGGCTATATTTCACCATTTTGTGGGGGAGAGGGAGGGGGCTTCAGCCCGAAAGCCCTCCCGTAGATCCGTCCTTGTGAGTCAGAATAATCATGACATTAAATGTTCTTTTAATTATGTCATGTTCAGTCATATGTTCTGTTTCTATGATTGTTCCCATTCATCAGAGTCCCACCGCTGCCTTAGGGCAAGTTCCTGAACTGAGCGCTGAGATTATTGATGAGCATCGGAAATCCATTAGATCGTTCCTAATGTAACAATGGTCGTGTTCCTAAACTCATTGAAAGAGATCATTGATATATCCACTCATTGTATCGAAAATGCATCAATGGATTACCGCTGAGTCTTGAATTCTCACTTTCGTTTAAACGACTTTAGCCGTACTGCCTGGTCATCTTTTCATTTCGAATAATTGACTGTAATTACTTCTTGCAAGAAATACAACAATTAGATATTTATGGGAATACGAAGGAGGATTTCTTTTTTACCAAAAGTTAAAAATGCAAAGTAATACTCTGTACGCCACAGATTGAAATATACATACCTCTTATAAGAGCGTAATTAGTTACGAAAGTAGTCCTCTTGGCAGTATTGTATTACGTTAGCAAACAGAACTAAAAGAAAAAATGCCAATATATCTTCTTTGAAGTGGGCAAAAAGTCTTCACTGATAATGACTTCAAAATATACCAGCGAATGCCGCCGCTTTGTGACAGTTCCTATCCATTAACCCGTGGTTCGGTTCAGATATTTTCAATAAAAACTGGGAACAATTACAAGCGGAAGTTTCGTGTTTATTTTGTTAACTGCAACTTTCAAATAATAACGCTTGATAAATCAAAAGAAAGTTTAAGTTTAATAGCGAACAAAGTAAACATGGAATATTTATCCGTAATCATATTACTTGTTTTGGCATCGAGTATTAATTGTTCTCCGCATCGAAAATGGGAATGTGGTGAGTCCTTTTATAATATTTCTAGCAGAGGTTTAATATAACATTTCTGTTATAATTAAAATAAATGTTAATGTTTTAAATGTAATATATATTCGGAAAGAAATAGGCTAAGTTCAGTTTGGACAGCTTTCAGATATTTAGGGTGTTTTTGAAAACATATTAAAATAATTTCAAACGTGGATTTTTTACTTGTTTTTAATTTATTTTTGTTTCAGAAAGTATGTATTTGATTACTTATTACTTTGTTTACATTCATGTCATTCACAAGCGGATCCAGGATTTAATTATTTTGGAGGGGGAGGGGCTTCAGCCCGAAAGATTTTTTTTCATATACATATAAAAATAATTAATTAGAAAAAACGAGAAAGAAATGAACTACCTATACGAAATGGCATTTAAGGTGGTTCTTGAAGTCCTGTTAAATGTAATTACACGAACAAGAATACTTTAAGAGATAGTTTTTAATATTTTTTTCTGTAAAACATGGTTATATTTTACCATTTTGGGAGGGGGGGGAGGGTTCAGCCCGAAAGCCATCCCCGTAGATCCGCCTGTGATGTAATTAAAAAAAATAGTATAAGCAAAAACTATTTTTAATTTTTTTGTTTTGGATTTTTACCTTTATTTTAACCTTTATTGTTATTTATTACTTACTGTAAATAGAAAATTATAATAACGAAAAAGTACGAAAATATATTAGAAAATCAGATTCAGAGGTTTTAATTTGTTGATTTTTTTAATGATTAGGAAATAAAATAAATATTCAAAGCTTTTAAACAGTAAAAATACTTTTATATTATTTATAAAAATTTATATATTTTTTATGCGAAATTTATAAATTATTTACTTATGTACTGTGGCGGATCCAGGAATTTTCTGAGAGGGAGGGAAGTGCACTTTTGAAACAGGTTAATCTCATACATCAAAAGTGTATGTGCAAATATGTATATGATAATAAATGTGTTTTTTAGTTTTGTTTTGTTTCATTCAGCATTTTGCCATAAAATGGTGGTCAAAATTACTGGATATTTGACGTCAATGAACCTAAAACACGATATTTTTTCACAAATTCAATTAAAAATAGTTTCCAAAGCATCAAAGTACTCCAGCAACAATTTCCAGTTGCAATATTAAAATATTTCGCCAGTAAATGAAGAATTTTAGAGTCAATATTCAAATTTTTTAACTTATTCGGTGTTTTTGAAAATAAAAGTTTTTGTTTAATACAATTCACTTTTAAATTAAAATAATAATAATAAAGGAGCAGGTTGTTTAGTTATTTTTTTCAAGATACAATTTTTTATCTTAACACCTCTCCCCCTGTATCCGCTAGGCTAGTGCTTATATTAGAAATATAGTCAGAGTAGGTATTGTGATAGTGAAAACAAATTGATTCTGAGTTTTCAAGGGAAATACACGTTTTAAAATCTCTCGGGTCCATTTGACCCAGTTTTGCAAAATAGTCTCTGCGCGCACTTGTTTTTGTTGTGTATGTGGAGTGTCGGCCATAGACGTTCGGCGCCCCGCGCAATGACGTCATTTCTTCCTCCCACCCTCATAAAAAAATTGATTTATTTCTTAAGCTGTTTCAAATTATGTAATATTTGAATTTTATTGCATTCGATATTTCTCTAATACAGTTTGCTTTATTAGTAGATTAAAATTATTTATTTTAATACGTTTTATAACTTTTTTTTATTTCCTACAAGTGGCAAGCGCCCCTGAAGAACGGCCGGCCTCCCCAAGCCTTTTCAGGTTAAGGCAATCATTGTAAAATTAAATGAATATTAATTTTATATACGTTTTATCCTCATTGAAATACTCTGACCATATTGACAGACTTTCCATTTTGATTGGGAGGGAGGTAAAGGAACAAAAAAAAAAAACTGTAATTCTTATTATGTGTAATATTCAAAATAATTATTGTGAAACGACTAAATATAATATTGAATATTTTAAAAATAAATTTATTTATTTGTTTGGAAGTTGTAGACTTTGTTTATGTGCGTATCTATATACTAGAAAATATCTAAACAAAATAATTGGATTTATTACAATTTGTATAAATTAAACATGGAAAGAAGGGGGGACAGACTTCATAACATAGGTACACTTCTATAACTTTTCCAGCTAAAAATGAATAATGTTAAAAAACTGAAAAATATTTTTGATTTCTTAAAATAAAAATATAATGTTTTCAAATTCTAACTAATTATGTAAAAATGTCTATAAAAATATATTTATACTTATATTTATTAAATATATATTTTCAAAATTAATCGTAAAAAAAATTATAACAAAATCACATGAAAATAGAGGCCAATGAATCATAAAATCCTGGAAATTGTTTTTATATAATTATCTCAAAATATAAATGAAAACTTAAATAATTGGAATACTTCCTTTACAATAAAATAGTTATGTACCTACTCATAGGCATTAGCCAAGCCAGCTAATCGAATTTTCTTTAATCAATTTTAGTTCATATATTTTATTCATTCATGTAACTTATTTTTAATCAATTCTAATTTTTTTTTTACTTCAAATTATTGGGGGAGTGAACATTCAACATTTTTACTGGGGGGCGATGGCCCACTAACCCTCTCGTAGCCTACGCCTATAACTCTGACATACCTTAAATTGCTAATTTCCAAAATAGCTGTCACTGAAGTACTTTTAATTCGAAACAATTAATCATCTCTCATGGTAAGCAGTTATAAAAAATGGTAAATATAAACTGTGAGAGAATTTGATAATTAACTAAAGAAGAAATATGTTCCCCAGCAGAAGTGCCTATCCTCTTTTCCCCTCCTCAAATGTTAATGGCACATAAATTCCCCCGCCTTTTTCCAAGATGTTTTATTGCTCTTCTCTTCTTAACAGCAGTGCAAGTGAAAGTGGAATTTTTTTTTAAAATCATAGATCATGTACAATTCCGCTTGCTGGGGTCTTTCCCAATAATTTCTCTTGTCCCTTAGTTTAAAACTTTTCATTTCGAAAATGTATAACCCCGTCGAAATATGCCCCCTCAAAAAATCGAAAATGTACTCCCCCTCATCTTAAATTTTGATGAAACAACTTGTGGCATAAAATCCCCTTCTGTGCACCTCTGTTCTTGGAGGTAGAAAACAGATTTCTGAAAACGAGAGTTTTAATATAGAAGTACAATATACCTTTGGAAAGAAAGATTTTTTTAGAAACATTATTGTAGGCATAGTCTTGGAATATCATAGAGAGTTTATGATTCAATGGAAATATTTTTTTTTTAATTTTACTTCCCTATATAGCACATTTACTGCAAGTGTGGCCAAACTTGAATTTTTTTGTTTTTCAATTTTAAAAATTTTTTGTTAAAGAAATATCCAGATTTTTGCTAGAAAAAAGAAGAAAAATAGAAAACTAAAGTAAAATATTGTAATATAATAGTAATGATTAATACTGATTTCTCTTAGATATTTTTCTTGGATCCCTCTACATTTATTTATCAAGGTGTGACTTTCTTGGTTTGTTTCCATTTAGATATGAAAAGATATAATTTTTTTTTTTGTAACATATGGTAACATGCTTGGTAAAACAAGTTTTTTAATTTTCTTGTATTATCATTAACAGGTGAAGACTGTATGAGGTCATCTAAGAGGCAAACCATACAACTAGAAGAGTTTGGTACAGAGAATGTTGTAAAATTTTACCTTTACAATAGGTAAGAAATATATATATATATAATATATATATATATATATATATTTAATATATATATATATATTATATATATATATATATATATATATATATATATATATATATATATACCAACTTCACTATTTTATTGGGAATAAGGTCACTTAATTAAGTGACCTTATCCCCAATAAAATAGTGAAGTTTGAATTTAATACTCAAAGGTCGATGAAGGAAAAGTTGTATATATATATATTATATATATATATATATATATATATATATATATATATATATATATGAAAAGTTTTTTATTCCTCTCAGTTTCAATTCAGTTGCATGATTGTAATATATATATATGTTACAAACAAGGAACTGAATTCAAACTGAGTGTGGAGTTTAAAAGGAATAACAAGGAGAGATGAAAAGGCAAAAACATATTCTATCAATTATCAAAGATAAGATTATTGTGTTGATTAAAAATCAACCAGTAATTTTAATCTAGAATTTTATTTTAATGCTGCATTTAATTTATATTTTTTTCCTGATTGAAATCACCAAAGTAAGCAAATATCTTGAAATATGCAATATAAAATTTGACTAAACAAAGTGATTTGTAGAGATATTTTGATCAGCACTTTAAAAATTGCATGCAGAAAAAATATGCAATTACATAAAAATCAAGCCTCTGTTTATGACTATGTAAGGGCAGCATCGGTATTCCATCGTTACTTTGTAGTGTTTGAAAGTTTTGTATATTTTAATTATATAATAACTTTATATCTTACCATGTAAACTCTATATTACCTATGTTTTTATTAAATGAAATTTTATTATTCTATTTTTGAAAAACAATATCATCCTTGAATAGAAGAAATAATCCTTTAGCATTTAATAAATTAATAAATCAATGAGATTATAATAGTCAATTTTTATGTTTATTTTAATTCAATTTAATTAGATTGTTACAATATTAATATTAAATATAATAGGTTTTTAGTAGACCCTCAATCACTTATCATATTAGAGCTGTTTCTCGTCAAAAGTGGATAGACCATTTCCAGCAATTTATCAAAAGTTTCTTCACTTATTTGGAAATAAGTTTTTGTGATCATCTACTTCCATCCCACTGATCTCTTTGGATAACATATGAATAGTTTTCTTTTTGCTTCATTTCAAAATGATACTGTATATGATCTTTTGCTATTATCCATTGATAAATTTTTGGAAACCACGAAAAATAAATAATGAAAATATACTGATATAAAATAATGTCATTTCAAATGGTCATGTAAGGTTGAAAAAGAGGATGGGATGGCTGAGCATGTTGGGGTGTGGTTCCCAGAGCATCTGATTCTGAACATTGTGGGTTCGGTTCCCACCTGGGTCAGTTACTTCTCATTTTTTGGCGGCCCTAAGAAATATATTTTGACACTCCCACTCTGGAAAATATGGGGCGGCAATCTCAAGGTAACCTGAACATTCTTATAGTCCTGAAGAATGCAACAGATTGCAGAAAAAAAGAAATCCACTCGTGGATACTGAGCACCAAAGTTCAAGATGTTGAATAAAACGAAACAGATGTTTTAAGTGGTACTTATAGCTTTTATTTGTTTTGGCGCAGCTTTTTTTTTAGTAGATAAACTGTTAAATTTCTAATGATTTTTTTAAAATAAATTTTTAGAAGCATAAACATCAAAAAACAAATAATTGCTTTATTTTATTCAACCATTCAGGCATCTTTTTTACCTGCACTTTTAGCTGAGATATTTTCAGAGTCAGATTTATTACGAACATATAAAAAATGAAGTATTGCCTAGGTTTACTAATTCAGACTGACAAAGATATTTAACAAAAAAAATGTTTAAGCTTGAATTTAATTGTGTTGTTTTGATTAACAAAATCTAATCCTCATATTAGTATTTTTTTAAAATTTATAATTATCTGTTTTTCATCAAAATTAGTTTACTATTTATATCAGTATTTTGAAATTTTTTTTTTTGAAAAAGAAACAAACTTATATGTGTATTTGTCTTATAAGATTTAGTTTATGAAATGAATATTTGTATAATAAGATTTAGATATTACATGAAAAGCCATTTAAAAAAACGAATCAAAACAAATAATGATAATCTTAATATCTATTGTAAAATCTCTCTTATATTTGTAACTAGTAATAATGTAACCTTGGAAGCTTACTTCAATATTATTACTATACTTCCAAAATAAATAAGAGGTTGTTAAAAAAAAAAAAAACTTATAAGAGTATTAATATATTAAATTGAAATTTATAATTATTCTATCTCAGGTATGGGTTACTGACAATCAGACTAAAACACTCAGACAAACTAAAATTAACTATACTAAACACTGTTTGATTTTAAAATAAAGTCAAATATGGATCAGCAAGCTAACCTTTTTTTCTATAGATACTGTTTCTTCCTTTGTTGCACTAAATTCATTTGTCTTCAAATGCTTTCCAATCTCCTATCCTCTCTTCACTGCAGCCACAGAACAACTGCTTGCCAAAAAAAAAATCCTTTTTCCCATCCTCTCTTCGGGATTTTCTTTTTTGGAGAAACTACAGAGCAGCTATTTTCTTTTCCCTGAGTAGAATTAGAGTTTAGTTGATATAGATTAGCTTGCCTTTTAACTCTTACATTAATTTATTAAACTATTTTTAACAACTTTCAGTTAAGGTGTACACACAATATAAAATAGTTATCAATATTACAAATAATTTTGTCTGTATGTTTTAGAAACATTATTGATGGATCTGATGGTTATTCAGTATTCGACTCCGCGAGCTTTGAAACGGTATTTAACAAGTTCGATGCCAAAAATGAGACTAAAATTATTATTCATGGATGGATGGATAACCTAAACAGCAATATAAATGTTTTGTTAAAAGGCAGTAAGTAGTTTCATATATATTTTTTGAGATATTTTTTATATTATTGCTTAAAAGTTAAATTTAGAAACCAGTTTTAAAAAAAATTATTTTTCCAAAGCATTTCATCAGATCAATCTGAAAGTTTAAATCAATCATTATACTTGGAAATACTAGCGGATCCGGGATATGATTTATGGGGGAGGAGCTTCAGTCTGAAAGCTGTTTTTTTCATATTTAGAACGTATTTATAATCACTTTAGAAAAAAAGAAAGAAACTCAATACCTATATGAAATGGTATTCAAGTGATTCTTGAAGTCCTATTAAATGTAATAACACGAACAATAATACTTTAAGAGATAATTTTTTTCCATTAAAACATGATTATATTTTACCATTTTGGGAGAAGAAGGGGCTTCAGTCCAAAACCTCCCTCCCCGTAGATCCACCAGTGTTTGGAATATATTGAAATAGTTAATGGAAAACACCATCTTGGGTTGTGGGAATATTTTTCTTAAGGTTTGTTTTTAGTGAGATAACCTTCCTGAAAATAATTTACCAAAAAATAAAACTAATAAATTCTGAGAATCTAAAACTTTACTACTTCTGATTTCTGTTTATTACAGATTTACATAGTTTATTCTTAATACCATTCATTTCCATGTTGTATTATAATAAAATGAAAAAAGACAGTTTATTTTCTTAATTTAAATTATGAAAGCTACTATTATTTTTTATATTATATTTCACAATTTACTATTATGTAATTATATTCTGTAATTCTGGCATCTCAATGAAGTTGAAGCAATAACTCATATTGAGGAAAAACATTTTCAATGCAGCATTTGATTTCACCCAAAAAGATTTTTATCACGCTGTAATGTATGATACCAATGATTGTACTCCAGCTGGACATCTTCAAGAATGTGTGTGTCATCCCCTTCCTCGCTTTTTAGGCTATAGGGATTTTCCCGGGTCAGGGAGTGAGGATGGGAAATCAATGCCTCAGTTAAAAAGCTCTCCCGGTCACCGGGATGAGAAAGTGTAATTATTTTATCTAACTATTTTTGAACCGGGTTGCTGTGCACACGCATCAGCCCACTTGGCCAACCTGTCCCCTTGCTTCAATGTGATGTTAAGGAATATATATATATTTGTGATAACTATTAAGGAAAATATATGTAGTTACCACAAATATATTCACAAAAGAAAATTTAATTTGGAGCCTAAGATAATGTTTCTAAGCCCTATTTATAGATAAGTCCAAATCAAACTATATAAAAAATTTAACTATATTAATGCGTATTAATTTTTAAAACTACTTATAAATGCTATGATGGATTTGAAAGAATTTTAGGTTCTCTTATGGCTCACAACTATTATAAAAAAAAAGAAGTAAATAAACAAATAATCTTTGTTAATGAATTATTTAAAAATAATGATGAGTGATAATAAATGATAAAATAATCATTTATTTTTTTTAACATTAAGGAAAAGAGTGCTACTGTCAGAGATAAAAAAAAAAAAAAAAAGAGAAGGAAAATCATCCAAGTATTTAATCAAATAAAGTTGAAGTTTAGCAATCAAGTGATAACTTTTTATGATCTCTCCCACCTCTTATGAATCAATTCCAATATTGATAAATGTTGACAAGTTGAGTAAGAGGCTGTATAATGAATCATTCTAGTCTGTGTTTATTTATTTATTTTTTTGATTCCTTAGATTATTTTGGAGCTATTGATCCATTTGAAAATATGAATTTATAAAATATCCTTATATTTTTGAATTTCAATATTAAATAAAATAATCTATCTGTTTTTATGCTGTACATACATATCTTAATAAACACAGCAGCCCTAATTTTTAATCATTATTTTTCCATTATTGCAACCAAAATTATCCCTTTAGAATAAGATGAAGATAAATTATAAAAAAAATTAATTTAATGTTTTTATATTAATGTAATTCAGTCTATTTAATATTACTTAATATAAAGTACTAGCTGATGTACCTGTCATTGACGGGTGTATATTTAAAATTTGAGAATCTTTTTTTGAGATGGATTTTGTATTATGGGGGGAGGAGGGTCCAAATTAAATTTCATAAAATTGGTTCGGGAGTGGCGAGGGGGTTTGTTTTGAAATTTTTTATGGTGGGGCTTATGGAAGTCAAGGTTTTGCAATAGTCATAACAAAAGTGTAAAATTAACTTATTCCGTGCAAAACTTGATCTGAATATTGTGGCAGGTGGGATAAAATATTGGAGTTTTCCCCCTGATTTCCGGCTAATCCGTATGGTTAATCCTAAAAATGTATAAACAACAATTGTTAGGCTTGAGAAGTTGAATTGAATGATCCCTTGGATGGGAAGATCGGACAAATTTGAAAAATGAGTGTGTTTTCCCCGTTGTATGTGACGTGTTACAGATGTTCGGTATTCCGGATTTTTCCCGTTGAGCTTTGATAATTTTGTCTATCAGTTGAGTAGTACAACTTTTAAATGTGACTCGCGGTAGTGTAGGTTGGGATGAGAATCAAGTAACTGCCTAACCGAGATCTCTAAACAATTACTCAAGAACTCAAAACTTTGGTTCTACTCAATATTTTGTTTTCATTTTAAGCCTATATTTTAAGTCAAGCAAACCTAAATGTAATGGAAAAATTTCAAAAGTATACCATTAGTCATTGCCGAGCTTACCCCTGACAAAATTTCGACAATGCGGACATCCAGAAAGACAAAAAAATTTTTTAAAAGAGGATTTGGTGTCTGTAATGTATAAAACGGAAAGATATCACGAAATGGGTTGATTCTATTCAATGTACAGATGAAACCTTTACTTTATTTATATACATGCTCTTTAACTATAAACATATGTTATTATTAACATTTATTATCAACATTAACTGAGGTCTCTAGACAAATTACCTCAAGAACTCATAACTTTGGTTATACTCAATATTTTGTTTTCATTTAAAGTCTATGTTTTATGTCTAGCAAACCTTAATATAATGTTAAAATTTCGAAAGTCTACAATAAGCCATTGCTGAGCTTACCCCTGACAAAATTTTGTTGGACAATGCGGACATACAGACAGACAACAATTTTTTTAAAAGTGGATTTGGTGCCTACATTGTATGAAACGGAAATATATCATAAAATGGGTTGATTCTATTCAATGTACAGACAAAATCTTTATTTTATTTATATAGATAAACAAATATTATACTTAAATATAAACATATAATATTTAACATATCTTATTGCAATAAAAGTACAAATTTTTACACAATTGAACAGGCAGAATTTTGCTGGATTAATCAATGTGAAATAATAAGGCTATTTTTTTAAAACAAGACTTTTTCTATTATGCCTTTCTTCATTTTCTTCATCTGAAAAAAAATAAGAAAAATAGTATATCCAGTTAGCCTTGCCAAAAAAAAAAAAATGTAAAGAACATTGAAGTTAATTTGAACTGATAGACAACATATTCCATTTAAGTAGAAAAATAAACATGAAACAATATTTTAATAGTTAATAGGTTTGACAATTTTAATTTTTTTAAATAATATAATGAGCGATGCCATTTTAGGAGGGACAGAGGAAGGAGGGAGAGTCATTCCCTAATAAATTTAGAAATCCGAAAAGTTTAGTTATTTGAGATTTGAGAACATATTTCAAACCCTGAATTTTGTGGTGAAACATTTAACTCAGATTTTATAAAACTTTAAACCAATACCTTTTGAGTTAGAGTTGGGATTTTATTGACACAGTGTTGTGTTTGAATTGAAAAAAAAAATTATTGTTGTAAAGTGTCAACCATGTAAGTGTAAGGTCAAAATCCAAAAGAGTTGTGAATATTAAATATTTCTTTAATATTAAATTACTAATTTATTAAATTAATGATTAAAAAGTTTAGGGAAATTTTGTTCTAACTTTAAAAATTCTTGGAAAATTTTATTTCAACTATATTAATTATTGTCAAGGTATGTTTAACTACTTAAATTGTTGCAAAAGTTTGTTCGAACGATTGGAATTGTTGGTAAATTTTATTAGTTCTTCAATATGGTAGTCTAAAGTATTTTTTTTTTTCTCAGAAGTCCTATACTGTAATCTAAATTTTTAGTGAATTTGATATGTTACAGATTACTTAGCAAACTATAGTTACAACATAATCATAGCAGACTGGTCCGGAGCTGGATCCATGAATCCTGTCTACCCGGCAGCGAGGAGTATGGTACCCATTGTAGCAAACCAGGTCGCCATGTTAATTGACAGTCTGTATGTTCAGTTCCATCTGAAACCTGAGAATCTCCATCTCATAGGTCATAGTCTGGGAGCACACATTGCAGGGGTCACTGGTCAAAAGATTCAAAGTGGAAATATTGGCAGAGTAACAGGTGTGTGAAGTGACAGCAATTTTTTTTCTAACAAATTCCATTCCGCTAAGTGTTGTCCACTTGATGTAAAAGAAAAAGAAAAATGAAATTATTGATATATCATGTTAAAAAAAAAAGTCAAAAGAAAGATGATTAAAAATAAATGTGATGAAAGTAAAAGAAAATATTAGTGAATAACATTTTATAATATTGTAGAAAATCATCATACAATTTACACTCTACTTTGAATAGAAATTATTTTCTGGTAATGTTGGACTATTACAAAATTTTTGAAGTGCATTTTTAACGGAGCTAAAGCTTAAACCTCACAGCTATAAACTCATTAATACCATTAAAATAACACAATCCCTATTTATTATATTGGTGATAGGCAGTAGAAACCTCATAACTCCATCTTTTTTTGTAAACCAAATAACTCCAGTTTATGAGCTATATGTGCCTAGAGAGATTCGGAAGCACATCTGTATATTTAAATAAATGATTATTGATTGTACTACTGTTAGTTATTAAACTCTTATTTTCCATTGTAAAGTTTACTAGAATGGAGTTACGAGGTTTCATAGCGTTCTATCAGTAGATCAAAAGTTGTCACTTTAATTGTAAGTGGATAATGTTGTGATTTTACAAAAGAGGAAATCCATCAAATTATTCACCAATTTAATTTTCTAAAATTTTACATGATGAACTTTCGGAATAAACCGACACTGGTACCTAATAATTTAAATATAATATTGGATCTAAAGTTATTAAACTGTAAATGTATTTAAGATTATAAACATACGTTTTACAAATCCATGAAATATTTTTAACTTTTTCTTTCACACAAAAAACATGAAATATTTTTTAAAACAATGTCATTTCATTTATTCGATGGATTTTGTATATATATATATATATATATATATGGGGTAGCCGTACGGTCTAAGGCGCTTGCAATCGGTTATCAAAGTTAAGCCTTAATGAAGGGTCCGTCAGGCAACTCACACCGACCGGATGTAGGACTGATGACACTACCCTCGTGTACTTAAATCGGGAATCGGGATGTGATTTAGGAGACCACATTTCGAGGTCAAAGATCTTAATGGTCTGTAGCGCCAACCGAAAAAAACAATAATATATATATAAATATATATATATTTTTTCAAATTTGAACATAATTTTAAAAGTTTGTATTTTGTTAGGAAATTTCATTTAATTTCCTCGGAAACATGTGATTTCCATTAAATAATTTTAGTTTTAAACGTTATTATTTATAATTTTTTCACCACTCTCCATTACCTTCTACAACTTTCTATATTAGATATTGTTTCTTCTGAAATGGTCAGCTTCCAAATGATATATTATACTTATACCTTCTGACTATTATTTATGGAATTTCATTTTCTACTTAAACATATATTTTTTCTTTTTCTCCTTTATTCAATTATCAAAATCTTTCAAAGGCTATATTTGGCCTTTTGTCATTACTATTAACAATAGTAATTATTGAAAATAAAAAATCCAGGCTAGACAGACTATATTGCAGTTGATACAGATTATACTGCAATTGATATTAAATGATTCTCGTTAAAGCAAAGATATTAATTTTTTATCAAGACAATGATTTCATTATTGATTTTATTATACATAATAGTGGTTAATATTTTCCAGATTTAGTTGGAAGATGTAAATTTATAAAAGATCTAGGCATTTATAAATTCTGTATTTTCTAAACTAAACAGGAAAAGACAGTTTTAATAGACTGAGTTCATTTATAGAATGACAGAAGTTGTGATAATAAGAATTATATATGTATGAATGAAATGAAAAATAATTTTATTCTGCGACTGAAATCTCCTTAGAATAATAGTAGAGTTTAAAAAATATGTACATTAGTCTGGCATGTAAGTATCATACAAATATATGCAAAAAATACCTAGAAAGTTGTAAGCACACACACACACACACACATATATATATATATATATATATATATATACACACACACACCAAGATACTAAGGAAAATACAAATATATAAAAAAATAATACAAAGGAAAATATAAATATCTACAAAACATACTAACGATAAAACAGATATATACAATAAAATACTGAGATATTTATTTATATTTTATATATATATATATATATATATATATATATATATATATATATATATATAAATTAATAAATAAAAATAAAATGACTTATATCAATTAACTGCTGGTGACCAACATAATTATATAACCCAGAAATTTTTACAAGCTTGCAGAAGTTTGAATTTGTAGTAGGTGGTAGAATAGGAGTTGTTTGAAAGAGTTTATGGATGTGGTTTGAGGTATGGAGATGGGTAAGGAGTTTCACAAGGAAGTAGCACGAATGACGAAGGATTTACTGAAGGACTGTATGTGTTTGACTGATAATAAATCATGGATGTAATGATAAGAAGATAATTTAATTTTTTTATACCTAATTAGTAACAAGAATAATATGGTTCTGAAGATGAGGAATATTTACTTGAAACATAAATTATGATTGGATATGCTAAATAATAAAGAAAATATTGAAATTTTCAATGCATAGATATTTAATATTATTTATTTTCTTTAATTTAATTTTGTAGAAGTTACTAAATAATAGTACATTTTTATGAAAAAAGAAAATAGAATAAGCTCTAGTCAACTAAATAATAATAAAAATGAAGGTTGAACTACTGCCTTTGTACTATTGATTGAATAAACTTTGGAAAATCCAAATAAATTATCAAAAGTAACAACAAATCACATTTACTCTAAAACTATATGCCCTCCTGTATGCTTAGACAACACACCGATTCCACAAACAGAATGCAGTACCTCGGCCTTATGTTCGATAGGAGAATGACATGGGGTCCAAATGTAAAGAAAAAATGAGTCACATTAAATGGAAGACTAAAATTGTTACATTCACATTTAAGACGATATTTCAGATTAAAAGCAAAACAGAAACTAAGTATTAATAGATATCTATATCTATTACACATAAAACCTCTTTGGAGTTACGGACTAGGAATATACAGAATTGCAAAACCAACACACATAAAAACTAGAAACTTTTCAGTCTAAAATACTACGACTAATCACTCAAGCACCATGGTACGTGAACAACCAAACTTTACACAACGACTTACATGTTCTAACATTCAATGAACACATACAAACTTACTACAAACAATTTCATTTGTTAAATGGACACTCCAACCAGCTGAAAAAAGAAATGACCACAACTAGTATTCCCGAGAACTCCAGATGACTGAAAAGGATCTGGATCAGGGTGGATCTACTTAAATAATGGTTTAGTAAATAAAAGCCATGGAAGGGATACTGCTGGGTATTGCTTTTCCTCATGCCTATATACTATATAATTTTTTATTATTATTTATTTTTTTCTCATGACTATGCCAGGACATCTGCTGATTGTTGATAGTTGTAATTGACAGGTGCAGATAAATAAACAAAAGTGCAAAAAAAAAAAAAACTCCTTGTTATCATTGCATCTTACAGGATTAGACCCAGCTGGCCCTCTGTTTAAAGTTGACAAACCTGAAGAGAGGATCAGTAACAGCTCAGCCCTGTTTGTTGATGTAATCCACACGAGCGGTCTATTACTCGGGACGACCTACCAAATGGGGCACGCAGACTTCTTTCCCAATGGTGGGAACTGGATGCAGCCAGGTTGCTGGGTAGACGTAAACGGTAACAATTTTTTCAATTCCTTATGTATTTTTATTTAAGATTCTCTTCAGATTACTTGATGAGATAAAACAAAGAACCTGAATGGTTAAGAAAGAAAATAGATAAATGAATAAACCTTTGATATCGAGCAAATAATGAAATAAAGGAGCAGATATTTTCATAATAAACAGTAACATTTAAGTGACTCTTACGTTTGTTTTCTAATTTTGAAGTTCTTTGATTATTCTGTGCCCAATTTACTTGAGTAAAATTTATTAATAAAGTGTATGTTAATTTAATTGTGTCATGTAAAAACTTTCTTTGAGTGTGAAATTATAGTTCCTAGAGAATGAGGCAGGTGAATTAGCTGTGGAAGAACAACTTTAAAAGCAATAATATGTAATTTCATGGTTGTGAATTACCTAATAAAACTTTACTATCTTAAAATTGATGATCTATCTCCATATTCTACTGACTTGTCTCTTGGCGATTTCCTCCTGTTATTATAGCATCAGAGAGTGGGGTAGCTCAGTGGTAAGGCACTAAGCTTCCAATGCTGAAGGTCCCAAGTTCGATACTCGGCTCATGACAAAAAAATTATTTAAATATTTAAAATTATTTTATTTCTCCAATTTGAATATTTAAAGCAAAAATGTTTCTTCAAACAATAGACAAGAAATTTTATTGGTCATTGGGAGAAATGTATTAAAGCTAGGAAAATTGATTTCAAGTCAAAATAATATTACTAAAGGTTTTTCTTGGCTAACTCTGGGAACTGGCATTTAATCTGTTAATCTGTTAATATAGTCTAGCAACTAATTTAGGATTTTTATTGCATAAGGTTTTCATTGCTTGTTGGTTCTGGATGGCCCTACAAAGAAATATAATGCACTTGGTTTTGTTTTATCATAATTTATTATGTTTTAAAAAAATCTAATTTGACTTAATTTTTATAGGAGGATGCAGTCATGCCAGGTCATATCTTTACTTTGCTGAAAGCATCAATTACCCATTTGGTTATCAATCAACACCGTGTTCTGATTGGAAGGATTATGTAGAAAACAAATGTGAGGACGAAGAAACAATAACAATGGGAGCTTTTGCACCAAAATTGTATGTTAATGACTTAATTTATTACATATTATATTACTATATTAGTGAAGCGAGGGGATAAGAAAGTTAAAGCATTTAATAAAAGCGTTTCTGCTTGCCATAATCCCGAATGAAATGTTGCGAGTTAGAAACTCAGTCCTAGCATAAATAAAATGATTAACCTCCCACAGTATATGTGAGATTTGTCAATTTACTGGAGGTTGATCTCTCCAAGAACAAATCTTGGAGATTTGTCAATCTCAACTGGGTTGATGACCTGACCCCATACTAACTCTACATTTGCACTTTTTATTACTCTAATATAATGGATCTTCACTCTCAGACTTTCTTCTGATGAATTAGTGCTAGATCTGCTTCTTCAAACCATTCATAAGCAGCTAACAAGAAATTTCCATGCAATATCACCTTCTCAGAAATCTGATTTCTGACTTTTTAACTCTGAGAAACCTTGAATTATTTCCCTTGTTCACATTTGTCGTATAATTTCTTAACTTCTTCCCAAAGGAGAGGGAGAGAGGGTCTTCCATTTACAGGTGTCTGGATTTTTGCATTTATTTTGACATTCACAGTTATTATATACTTTCCATAAATAATAATCGTTTTTCAATTAGTACCATTTATTTCTATAATTATAATTGGTTATAATATATTGATATAAAAGGAACTAATTGTATCTTTCAGGATTCCCAAGATAATAGAGTATGACAATTCAGTCGTGCTTCTTAGATGTATTGCTTGGGTTTTGGCAGCAGCTATCATCAACCTCCTACTCACACACTTTATACCTATCAATTTGGCATTTTGTTTGAGTCTTTTCTCCTATCAGTGAACACCTAAGTGAACAAGATGTTAAACAACTCCTTGGCTGGGAACCCCTTCTCTTCTAGTACATACAACAGCTCATCAAAAAATAAGTCACACAGCGCAGGGCAGGGACCAATGGGAATACCCTCATGAAGGTTCTCTCAATTTCGCTGATAATTCCTCTAATCTTCACATGCCTGTCCTTTAGGCACGGGCGAATCTACGGGGGAGGGGGCTTTCGTGCTGAAGCCCCCCCAAAATGGTAAAATATAGCCATGTTTTATCGAAAAAAATATTTAAAAAGTATCTCTCAAAGTATTATTGTTTGTGTAATTACATTTAAAAGGGCTTTAGGAATCACTTAAACACCATTTCATACAGGTAGTTAGTTTCTTTCTTTTTTTCTAAAGTAATTATCGTTATTTTTATGAAAAAAACAGCTTTCGGGCTGAAGCCCCCCCCCCCCAAAATGAAATCCTGGATCCGCTAGTGCCTGTAGGTAGCTTTTTAGAAGGGCACACAGGTTACTAGATGTAGCCATTGTATCATATTGAAAGCAGATATGTAAAAGACTAATATCATGAATACCACTCCAGTCTTTTGTCAACATCTTTGCATACTCGCAGAAGAGAATCTGTTATTTCCTTACCTTTAGAGGATCCAAATTGCCATGCTCCTTCTTATTTAAACTGGTCGCAGGCTGGTTAGTAGGAGGCCTTAAAGAATTCTAGAACCTATTTGTTCTTTCTCTGTAATGAGAAGAGTTAAGTTTCTATACAACTTTGAATACTGCTTATAATTACCTATTTCTGTGTACATATTGTCCTGAATAAATAGCAATTAAGTGAAGTGATCACAATGATTGTGTATATTTAAATCTACAGTATTTATGTTCCAGAGCGAGAGGTTCATACTATCTGAAGACGAACAGCGAACCACCATTCTTTGAACTATGAGAAGTCAAAATAATTATAACTTAAATAATGAAATTACGTTTAGATGTAGAAAAACAATTGTGATATTTTGTGTTGACTGTATTATCCATTGTGTATGCTATTCGCTGATTGTATCTATTGTTTTCTTTGACATAACAAATCATTTCCATGTCAAATTACCCAGATGCTGAAACGGATGTAATCAGTTCAGAGATTTTGAAAAAAGTCCAATTCAATAATTCAGTTATTGTTTGAACACAGTTATAACACAGTTTTCAATTCTTATATAAATATAATACAAAGAAAAAACAACCTGCTTGACAATGGCGAAGATAATGAAGGAATTGTTAAACAACTATTAACAAAATAATCTGTAAAGAATAAATGTTTAATGTATCCTGTTATTGGAAAAAAAATCTTTCCTTACTCAGGATTGTATATAATGTACAATAAATACATCTTTTGAGTGTTACTTTCATTGTTTAATAATATAACCTACCCATCCCGTGTGTATAAATTTCAAAACAATATTGTAGGCTGCGCACTAATAATTTCCATTCAACTTCTATAAATTATTTATTATTGAACAGTTAACTAATCAGTTTAAAGCTAAGAAAATATTCTAATAATGAGGAAATAATAATAGGAAACTTGAAAAAAAAAAAAACTCGTTTATCACTTTCGTGTCAGGAACACGTGAGAGTCCAAGACCGATGGATGAAAACTCTCATGAAATATAGAAAAATTGTTATCAGTTTTGAAGAACTATTTCTAGATTATTTTTCTAAAATCATAGTAGATTTATCATAAGTGTTAATTTTAAAGATGATTAATCGGTATTAATTGTGAGTATTTAGTTGTATACATATCCCTGAATTGTAATACTTTTAAATGTGGATTATTATCTTTACGTTTTTCTCTCGTTATTATAATTACTATATGCATCTCTGAATTATATGCGAAATAATAGTATGACTTTAAAATTTCTTATTTCCTATCTCATTATTTTTTTTTGTCAGTTTAAGGGAAATGTTAGTGAAAACCATCGCGTGTGTTGTAGGCGCCCAAGACGAGATTTTACCAGAGATTTGAATCAATAAATAATAATTTTCGGACAACGGGAGCATGGGAAAAAATAGACGGATTAACAGCTAAAAATAATATGAGTTTATGATAATGTGAAGAACATTTCCCTAAAAGTCAAACAGAATATAGAAAAAAGCAACAACACTATAATCAAAACGAAATTATATTTGCCAAATACGCCTTTGAATATTTATAATTTCGATTTTTTCTAATTGTTTAAAACTAGACAATCCACTTTCTTTCCTACTCCATAGATGGGGAAATGGAAGTGGGCAAACGACAAACTATATTTCTGGAATAAACTTACAAATCTTTGGAATAAAATACGGTTTAAACATGAAAAACAAATAAAAATACCGCAAACAAGAATTGTAAATCTATTTCACATCTATTTAAAGATCTTTGTTACCTTGAAAATGAAGGTGGTAAATTATTTGAGCTGAGTGTTTAGTGAATGAAATCATGAGGACTGATAAACAAAAGGAGACTAAAAACTATTCAGTTCATTAAAAAAAATAAAATAAAAACGGTATTTAAAAAATAAATTTGAACTCAACGTTTTGATTGAGATAGATCTCAACTTTTTTTTCTTATAAAAAATTGTGCTTAAATATTCATGAATAGTAACTTAGTTATGTGATATTGCGGTAGGATGTGGTTTTATCTATATCAAACAATGGCGACATAATCTTTTCTTGGTGCTGTATTATTTTCAAGTATACTTTTAAACTTTTCGCTAAAAGTACATACCTTTCGAACGGTCAATATGCTGAGAGTACACTTAAGCAATTATCTGATAAAATAGTATGTATAAAATGCTCACTCGATGACGGTTACCGACAGTTGGAACTTCAAAATGGAGTCGACGAGAATGCTTATTCTGTTTTCGTTTTTGCTCCTGTTTTGGTCGGGCTTAGCTTGTTCGGAGCAATTAAATGAGGATTGTAAGTATTAGGTATCATTATACACTGATCTGGTAGAAATTAACCGCAATACTTTATTAGATGTAATTGAACTTGTATTTATTACTAAGGCATTTTTAATGAACTTACGTCCCGAAATAATGGCACTTACAACTCCTGTAATAATTTATTTTAAGGATGATGGTGGGTGGTATCCAGAGATGGGTAAATACTACTTTGAGTACCGAGTACCAAGTCTCTGATGGCATCCATACTTAGCATAATATTTAATTTAAAAAAAAATATTGAGAAAAACCTTTATAATCCGCGGTTTGTTCCTATTATTTCAATTTACTTTGTTGAACATCGTGCTAAACTTTTAACCCTTTAAAGAAAATCTCTCTCGTTTCCTTTAGTTCTTTCAAAGGTTTTTTTTTTTTTTTCAAAACATTTGATCCAGCTAAACGTATCCTCATTTCCAAACTTCAAAATCTTGTCATATCAATTAGCATTTTAAAAGTTGTTTACGTTGCCTCACCTTCTCCAAACAGCACAATGTGTTCCTCGGTGCTAATCACTCACACCAAATCTTTTCTCTTTATACATAAACGATCTTCCCACATTCACCACTCACAATACCACTTGAATGATGACGATTTTCAAATCAACAGTCTTTCTATTCAACTGAGATGCTGGGGAAAACTCAAATGTTACAAGAAGATATTGATAGTATCAAATCATACTCAGAAAACAATCAATAAAGGCGAAACGCTGAAAAGAAAACAACAAAACTATTCGCATGGATTCCGAACCCCTCTTTAATTACATCCCTTACAATTCTTTACTTTACTGTAGCAATCATTTTGCTTATTTTCACTCGACAGTAAAAAATGTCATCTTTACCTTCGACAAGTACCTCGTCTCAAAAAAATATATTCCAAGATAGCACTATTTTTCTTTAGCATCTCCTAAGATCCCATGATTCCATTCCTCTACAGTCTAGAATCTTAAGATTGATAGTCGGTTTTTCCGGACGCTTTCGTTTTTCTTATTGGTACATCGCGTTGAAGTGGCTTTATCCTACTTTCCGAGGGCAATATCTCCTAGGTATTTTTTTTTAAGTCCAGAAAAAAAATTCTGTTTCCTCGTACACTTTACTTTACATTTCTATATTCATTCTTTCTACATAGAAGAACTCAGCCTATTGATTTGTACGCGCCTCTTATGAATCTACAAACTTCACCAAATCTTACGTTACTTACGCGATTCTTTACCCGTCGAATAGTACATATTCGTTTAAACAACATTTATTCCTTTATCCCCACAATAATCTAACCATCGCATCTTTATTTTCATATTAACAATTAACAATAACGGATTACTGACAATTTCACATTTATAAATATTTAGCCAGACCAATGTACGTTAAGTCAGAACATTGTAATCTTAACGTACTTTTTCGAGAATAAATAATTTTTACTCATTCTTTCATTAAATAATTAGATTTTGGGATGATTTTTTAGTAAAAATTTATTTCAAAAACAAAAAAGGTTTTATAATATAAAGTAATTTCCACGAAGTGTTAACAGGAAAACACTCGATGCGAGTCAGTAATTTTAGTTTGGGTGTTTCACATACCCACTTTAGGATTTTTTTTTTCTATGACTGCACAACTGGACTTATACATACACGCAGATATGAATATACATAAATATTTATGTATTTTTTTAAATATTTTTTTTAATATACATTACATCATTTCATAAAGATAAATTACATGTTTGTGGTTGCAGTAACCTTATTACACATGACATACTAGTGGTTTGAACGTTATTTAGAAAATTGAAATCCATTTTTGTGCAGTACGAAAAACCTCATAAAAACTTATATAACATATAAATGAAAAACTACATTACAGTATTTACGTAATATTTATTTAGAGCAGTTTAATATTATAACATAATGTGGTTACAAAAATACTACTCCGAAATTTGTAGATTAAGTGTCTTCGATAAAAAAAATATTTCCCATTATCTTGAGTTCTCGTTTTATACAATTAAACAGATCCAAATTGGGCTTGAAAAGACACATGAGTGGTTTCAAAATAAAATTGCTTGGTTATCTATTTTTTGAATTATATTTTTTTCGCGATGTCTACATGCTTTCATTAAAATGTTTTGTCATCCTTAAAAGTGATGTACATGCTCAGTATTCTGATGTTATAACATTTTTATGTAAGTAAAATATAACAGGCGAAGATTAAATAGTAATCTTCCTTATTTTATAAAGGAAGTATACAAAGCCATAATAATTTTAGTAATAAAGCAATAACATATTTTTTATTTTGAATATCCATTCAAAACCTCTTAATCTATATGGTTTTGACATTTGCACTATAGGTAATACAATAATATAGTCCGTGGTACAGACCCCTTTTTATCGAATTATTAACATCCATCTGAAACTTCGTAAATAATTTCATCTCATCGTAACCTACAACTATTTTATTTATGAAAACTCTTGGAGTTAGGGCGTTTTCAATCTGGAGGGGGACAAACTTTTTCTATTTAATTAGGTACTGAAAATACATAAATACACATTTGCTTTCTACTTGTATCGTAAGATAATTTGATCCCAAAATCGAGAAAAAATACGGTCTTCAAAAATATTGAACAGTTTGGCGTGACCTACACCTCCAAATTTTCAAAACGACGAGGATACATATGGCAAACGGACCAATATTTTTGTACGCCAACTTATCTTACGATACACGTAGACATCAAATGGGTATTTACGAGTTTTTAGTACCTAATTAAATAGACAAAATTTGCCCCTCCCCCCTCAAGATTGAAAAAGCCCCAATTCCAAGAGTTTTCGTAAATAAAATAGATGTAAGTTTAGATGAGATGAAACTATTTACGAAGTTTCAGGCGGATGTTAATAATTCGATGAAAAGGGATCTGTACCACGGAATAATACTCCTATATTTTCAATAATACATACAGTAACGTAAGAAAATGGGTTAATAGATACTGGCAAAATAACTACGATATAATGCACCGTTTTTAAGATTTAAGATAATATTTTTGGATTCAGAAGTTTTTAATTTGATCCAATGTTATCCACATAAAGATTAAAAGTGCTATCTGTATTTATTTACGTTTTTCTTACGAACTCTGAAGTATCCTTTGGTACTTAAAATGATTGTAAAATTTGTTTTTGGTAAAATTTTCCTCATTTTACTATCCATCTACTGCTGTTATTCCAAAGACCATAGCAAAATTTCCTTTTCTCTCCTAACTGATTAAGATTATTTTCCTTAATTTATTGGTTATATGTATCGTGCCTCAAATACAAATTGCTCATCAAAAACCAACAATAGTCTGGCTCAGAATAACATTAGTTGTTATTTACAGAGTTCGAATCGGCAAACTTCATTTGCAACTCAAAAACTCTACGTAAGTTACTTGCGTCATTGAAGAAAATATATTGACATTAGAACGCAATAGACGATAAACAATTATAAACGTTGAATTGGTTTATATTTTTGTTAGTACGTTGAGGTATTTTTAACGTATAGCGCAGTCATTATATTGTTAACAATTATTTGTATTAATTTTAATTATTAAATGGAATTCAACGAAATTGATTCTAAGTAATTTTTATACTGTTCTACCCATTTCCTCCAAGTTTGGATGAAATCTAATGCGCCGTTTTCTAACTATAGAGACATATCAAATAACACATTTCCTGATCTAAAAGCGGAAGTATTTTTTATTTTTTTTGGAGTAATAGATAGAACTTGATATAATTGATGCCTATTTCATTTTACGTTTACCGATCCCTAAATTCCTTCAAAATTTGAGCCAAATCGAACTTGCGGTTTTAGAGATATAGAGGTGTCATGGAAAACACGTTTGCGTATATATAAGAGAAAGCAACGCACAGAATTCAATCAAATTAATCCTACATATTTTTTTCACAAACACCTTTTATCAAATTTTAAGCCAAATCAAATGAGCCTTTTCTGAAATATTGGCATATCTACAAAAATGTGTTTGCTCTTGAGTAAGCGGAAGTGCGGGTTAGAATATAATAAAACTGATATGGGACCATCTAGACACCAACTCGCAAAAGTCATGAAAAAATTCATGAAAATTGGATGAACGGTAGTACGTTATATGCCCGTTACATCGATTTGACCACAGACAGACAGACACCGTACCAAATTTGATCCTTGATGTCTATAACGTAAAACGCGAGTGGAAATTTTCGATTCTGGGCACAATTTTTTTTTTTAAACTCTCGCACGAATACAATTCCTACCTTCGGTAGTGAAGAAGCAAAAATAAATAAGTATATTTATTTTTATTTTTGCCGGAGTTTCGGTCCGAAGTTCAGGCCTTCATCAGGGCTGGTCAAACGAAAGGTTTCCGCAAGACCAATATAAATATACTGATTTATTTTTCCTTTTTTTTTTTACTGATCGTCCCAATCAATCTTCTCTTCATTTATAATTTATGTTTTTTATGAAAATTATTTCTAAAAAAAATCTACCTTGTTTTTTTTTCTACAGATACTGAAAATGGATCGATAGACGAGAATTTAGAATACGAACTTGGAGATGTGAAGTTTTACTTATTTAATAGGTGTGTATAAAACAATTGATTAATATATTTTATCTTCATTTTTCTCCTACATTTATTAACTTTTTATTTCATTTTTATGATTTATATATTAACTTTTCCATTTAAGAAATTATAAGGTAGCTTTGATTTTAAATAGTAAATTTAGGAATATAAATAATGTTTTCAGAAACCCCAAAACCAACGTGTCAATCTGTTTCGGAAATAACTTAAAATGATGTAATAATGATTATATATAGAAAATGTAAATTATAATACTTTTCTTGGATTGAATAAGTAATTTATACATACCAGTTACCATGTAAAAAATATCTTAAAATTTTTATGGCTGCTTGGTCACATTGGAAGAATTGTTGGGGAAAACAAAACGTACATTCGCAGGCAAGACTACTAAGAAGAGGCTAAGTGTTTTTAACATCTGATCACAAAGATTTAAAGACTTGCATCAAGGAAAAAAAATGGCTGGAGTGGCAAAATGAATGGTCCAACATGAAAATAAATAACTAAAACGTCTCCAACCCCTCCAGTACCTTCCTCATCCATTCATTTCCAACGGCTCTCCGCAGAAACTTCATCTCAGCACTTGTTGGCCTGCTTCCTACGTCGAAAAAAAATATTGGCTATGTTGAGACTAACTACTAAACAATTGGTATATTTTAAAGCTATACACACTATAAAGCCATAAACCATTAAACTACTTGGTCTATGTTAAACGAAAACTTAGATCTCTAAATTAGATACACAATTAAATTGTTGGAAAATTAATTCTGAGCCATAAAACCAAAAGCATACCTTTTTAAGATTGGGTAACTTTGGGACAGTTGGTTTTACCCTTAATTTTTTTTTAGTTTCTGGTGATTCCGTGGTGGATACATTGTGTTGGTTCAGTCTGCAAAAACTTTGTGTAGGCACGTACTGCGCTACTATCGTGGTACACTACTCTTGAGGCACATGAAGCGAAAGATTCATGAAAACAAGAATTTTGAAAAAAAGCAATGGAAATAAACGAAAACCTAACTGCACAAAGAGTGTAATGAACTAGGTTTCTCAAACTGCCTCAAGATAGTAGCGTAGTACATTCCTATTCAAAGCACGTTTTTGCAGACTGAACCAACACAGTGTATCTCCCACAGAATCACCACAAACTAAATTTTACGCGCTGTCCCAAAGTTAACTATATTACGGTACTCTTGTGTTTTATTTTAATTTTTTTTTCGTCGGCCCAAGACTCCCACTGAAGTCCTATACTGCTCCTGGTACTCTTCTTCTCATTAAGAAATTTTCGGAGTATCCTTTTCCAGCAATTATCTTACAATCACGAAGTTGTTCACATTCATTACGACTTTAATATAAGCTAATTGTTATAGCAATGACATTGGTACCTTCAGTTTGAAGATTTCATCAATTAGATTTTGTTTTCTATTGGATGAATGAATGAAAATAATTTTATTATTCTGGGACTAGTGTCCATATAGAACGAGTTACAAATACAGAATATATATTAATATTTTGGTGTGTCCATAAAATACAATTTAATATTTACAGTACTATAAAGTTATAGATTCGGAGTACTATAAAGTTATAAATGATAAAAAGATACAAATACGTGTAAATATAAAATATACAGATAAAGTAAATAAGTAAACGAAATATCGATGAATTACAAAATAATCAGAGTATCTGGGTGTACTTTGAGGTTTTTACAGCTTAGGGTTGTAAGTGCATTGCGTGATCAATCGGATTGGGAATGGAGTAGGTGTTCGAAGAGGAGAGATTTGAAAGAGGATATTGATTTTGCGTGCCGAATATCTAAAGGTATTGAGTTCCAGAGGGAGACAACTTGTATTAAAAAGAATTTATCAAACGCAGCAGTTCGGTGAGGAGGGGGATAGAGGTCGGACGCACGGGATCTGGTGGGACGGGATTGAAAGGAGAGTTGGAATTGTAGGATCTGTAGAATATAGGCAGGTCGCCGTGTTCTAATGGGTTGGTATAGGAAGGTAGCAAGGAAATATTGACGGCGGTAGGACGAATAAAGGCACTTCAACTTGGTGTAGAACTGGGTAATATGCGTCTCCCTTAAGATCCCGAAGATAAAGCGGATGGAGCAATTCAATAAACGTTTAAGTTTGGCCTCGAGTTCTCCCGAGAGTCCACCATACACCATGCAGCCATAGTCGACGTGTGGGAAAACAAGAGAGGAGACCAGGAGTTGATGGGTTTTGAACGGAAGAAGATAATGTAGAAGATTAAACTGTTTCAGGTTGGATATAGTACGGCGGGAAATTTGTTATATAGATTGGGAAATAGTGAAATATAGCTGTATAGATTGAGATCTTTGGCCCTTTTGAACCAACCTTCTCCGCCTCTGCCTATTTGGGACTATTGCTTTCCAAATGGCATGTAGCTTAGCAACATTTTTATTTGATTCCAATGAAATAAAAAATTAATTTTTTTTTGTGTGATTAAATTCTATTATAGTGATTAAATGACTAAGTTCTAGAAATGTTTGCAATAAAGTTATGGAATATTACTCGTTATCGAGGTTGATTCATAAATGGTGTTTAGCCAGCTTGAGTAAATAAAGATTAATTTATGATACAGGGTTCGATTCATAAATCATTATAAGATACTTAATTGATAAACAGATATCACGTTGACACGTCTTTCGCAGGAAAGATATCACTGGTTCTGATGCTTATACGATAAACCATTCACAAAACATCTCTTCTGTCTTTACGAACTTCATTCATGCAGCCAAAACAAAAATTATCGTTCATGGATGGAAAGGTTCTCTGAACAACCGCTTCAACGTATTTATGAAAAAAGGTGAGCGCAGTTTATTTTTCAGCCCAAACAATCAGATACAATTATTATTTTAATTATTAGTTGATTTAAATAATAGAGTTGCAATCTATGAGCTGATTTTGGAATTTCCCAACTAGCATACCTCCCTCAATACGATTACAACATCATCATCGTCGACTGGTCTGAAGCTGGATCATTACAGAAATACTTTCGTGCTGTACAGTATGTTCCTGGAGCTGCCGAAAAGTTGGCCATCTTCATCGAAAAGCTATGTGCAGAGTTTAACCTCCGCCCGGCAGATCTTCATGTCCTCGGGCATAGCCTGGGTGCGCATGTTGCTGGTCTCAGCGGCAAGAAGCTAACCATCGGAAAGTTAGGAAGGGTGACAGGTGAGTGATAAAGTTTTTATTGTATTGCTTTGTTTACTATATTTTTTATGGTCAATATAAGACAATATGATCAACAATGTCTGATTTATTAGTCATAGATTTTATTGAAAAAGGAACCAAAGAACCCTCAATAATTTCTAATAATTTTCTGTCAAGAATTTCACCAATTTTGATTTGAATTGGGGTCACTTATTGCTTTACTTATTGTATCTGCCTATTCCCAAGGCATCAATTAGATATGAATTTACTTAGCAAAGTCTTTAGTTACTAAAAAATAATTTTTTAAAAATTTCCTGGCACTGAAACTGTTTCTGGTGGGTACATGGGCCGTGTGGTACTTTTTGCCAACCCCTGGCGGCTGACGAGAAGTTGCCGTCGCTTATTAACCATAGTGGAACTGCCAAGATTCATTTCTGGGGGTGCTGAGTTACACTTGCGGATTGCATATATATAAGGATAATTACTTTGGAAAAACATAAAGATACTAACTACCTATATGATATGGTGTTTAAGTGATTCTTGAAGTCCTATTAAATGTAATTAAACGAGCATTAATACTTTAAGACATATTTTTTAAATATTTTTTTACAATAAAATATGGTTACATTTTACCATTGGGGGAGGAGGGGCTTCAGCCCGAAAGTCCCCCCGTAAATCCTCCTGTACTGAGTTATAAATATTGACTGAATGAGATAGGAATTGTACCAACAAAGTTCAGAACTAGAGACTCTGAAGGACCCTTACCCCAATTTTCTCGGCCATCACGTCACCAATCTCTCAAACTAAGAGTAATACCTTGAAGGATTGCCAATGACAGTACGTGTTTGTTTGTCTTACACTTCATTATATCCATTATTGTACTTGTATATTTCATTTTATCGGTATTGCTTCGCTTCCATGTTTTTAATGCAAGAATTTTTACTCCCAGCTACTCGTTTAGTTATGGATTATGGTGTGTTTTACAGAGTAGTAGTCCCTTAAAAATTGGAGGAGTAAGAAATTACCATTTTTAGAAAATTTTATGAACCTCATTATACCGATAACTAAAATAACATTCATTTAGATTTGATTTTTATCTTGATAATTTCCATATCCTATTATCTAAGGTTTGACAGATACAAATCAATGTAAGACATTAAGCAGAGGTTGTTTTTTTCACTTTTCAGGACTAGATCCAGCCAGACCAAGCTTCAGCTATAATCATCCAGAGAAGAGGATCAGTACTGATTCAGGCCTCTTCGTGGACATCATTCATACAAGCGGAGGATACCTTGCGACTCCATATCGTATCGGACACGCGGACTTCTTTCCTAACAACGGTCGTTGGATACAGCCCGGATGTGGATTCGATATAAAAGGTATTTCATCAAAATATTGTGTGTTATTTTCGGTAAATAAGGCAATTAAACTGTAGAAAACCTTTCAGTTACCTATAAGATACTGAATTATGTCTTGTTAAATTGGGACATGACTACGAAAATATAAGAGGCACCCTCTAAACTGGATTCAGAAGAGCATCCTAATCAACATTACGATTCCGTGGACAGGAATTGCCTTTGAAATATCATGACTGAGCTGAGAGTTCCCCAAGATTTGATGAGACAAAAGGAGGTATATAAAAATGATACCAAGTTCTGATGTAAGTAGAAGTACTTCAAACCCATTGTAGTCCGAACAGATTTGTGGCAGAGTCATGGAATCTCACTAATTCTATTCAAATTTGAACTGAAAAAGAGAACAAAATCAATTGAAAATGGAGGACTGCACATCGGAATTAGTGTTGCCCAAATGCGAGACCGAGACGAGTCTTGGTCTTGCAAACTCAGTCTTGGTCATGGTCTTGGTCTTGCGCAAGACTCTTCTAACAGTCTTGCAGTTACTTATTAGCTTATTACTATAGAGATATTACTGTATTTTTTTAGATAGGAGAAACCTAACTAAGCCCGAATAAAGAATCAGAGGAGTTGAGTGCAAAAGTATATTATTTATATCAGTTATTAACATACAGTAACTAAGATTGTCAAGTATTAGTAACTTTTTTGAATTAATTTTTATTAAAAAAGTTGATTTTTTTTACTAGTCCTGGTCTTGGTCTTGCAACAATTAAGCGGCCTTGGTCTTGATCTCGCAAAGTGCAAGACCAAGACCGATTTTGAGCAACACTAATCGGAATGAATTATAAAATCCTTGGACATACAGAACTCAGAAACAGTTAATGAGACATTCAGAGACTGATTTGAGAAGCAGAACAAATTGATCTGCTAATGATGAAGTGGATTACATGAGTAGAAAAAACTACCCCAACAAAAAGGATCATAGAAGGAAAACCGTCCTCCAAGAGTGAATAAATTCAGATATTATGGGTCCACAATAACCACAATAAATTATCAACTACCATAGAACAGCCTATAATAAGCGCAAACGTGACTTTCTTTTCTCTTTTAAGGGCACTGAAATCCTGATAAGTCTAAAATGAAGGGTATACAATGATATGATAAACAGCGTACCAATTCTGATGTACGGCCGTGGAACATTGACTATAGACATTACCATAAAACGAAGAATTGAAAGATTTGAGAAGAAATGATACCCGAAATTATATGGGATCAGAGTATTAACGCATAAAGGAGAAGGAACAATAAAGTACCGCTTACAGACATTGGTCAATCAATCTCATGATATAAAGAAAAGAAGGTAAAGATGGGCTATACATTCATATTCGAAACCACTGAAAAATAGATGATATACCTCCACATCACTCACTCGATTAAAACTTTTAGTTTATTTTAGCGGAATTGTTCATAAAAAAAAGTTTAAATCTCACATTTTAATCAGTGGACAAGAAATGACAGACCTGATTCAGATAAATGCATTTCAGGTGCCAAAAATCTCAATTTTTAACACCGAACTGAACTTCTGGTTTACTTACTGATGAAAAAATAGATTGAGGCACTTTACGAAAATGAATAATAATAAAAATTTTAAAGTTAGTTGGTATGTATCACCAATTCATTTTAACGAAAGGTACTCTTATAAGGCAATCTTTTTTTAATTTTTAATTATTTATTAAAACACTTGATTTATCTATCATGTGTACGGAAATACATCACCATTAAGTTGAATTAAATTAGGAGAAACTATACATCCACTCTGTTGTTAAGTCATAGATTTGAGACGAGATTATTTTACGTTGTGGTTTATAACAGAATTGACTCAATTACAATTGAAAAAAAATAATATTTAAATAGGGGGGGGAGGGGAGGAGATATGGGGGCGACGAGAAAGTTCATTCTGTTTTCATTCTCGCATTTCATATGTTTTGGTGGATTTTAGTTTGTTGGAAGAATGAGAATAAGAAAAGAAGTTATGAGGTGTGAAAGTATTATCCACCATAATACATTTATCTGGTAGAGATTTATTAGGAGAAACTATACACCCACTCTCTTGTTAAGTCATAGATTTAACACGAGATTATTTTACGTTGTGATTTATAACAGAATAGGCTCAATTACATTAAAAAAAGTACTATTTAAATAAATAAAAATTCTGACAGTAACTTCTATTACAACAGTTCTATTATTTTTTCATTTCATATTTAAAGAGGATTTTTAATGCTAAAGATGGGTCCGTGTGTTGAAATATTGGATCTTTAGAAATAAAATTATAGAAGAAAAAGAAAACCTTTAGAAAAAAAGACCTGCCCAATCTATACTTCGTATCGTTATGGAGGTAATGATAAGAAAAGGAACCTATAAGGGATGAGACGTCTTTAACAGCTCAATCAATTTTAGCTCAATTTTATGCCTATTAACATTATTAGGATCGGGTGGAGTTTGATCGAAGAGTCAAATGGAGTATCCTATAATGGTAGATCGATGAAGTTCGGATTCGATTTTTAATTAAATTTAAATAATTTTTCACTATTTTTAGGTGTTACATGGTTTCTCTGTGATTCTCTGTGAAATAAAAATTCTGACAGTAACTTCTATTACAACAGTTCTATCATTTTTTCATTTCATATTTAAGGAGGATTTTCAACGCTAAAGATGGGTCCGTGTGTTGAAATATTGGACCTTTAGAAAGAAAATTATAGAAGAAAAAGAAAACCTTTAGAAAAAAAGACCTTCTGCCAAATCTATACTTCGTATCGTTATGGAGGTAATGATAAGAAAAGGAACCTATAAGGGATGAGACGTCTTTAACTGCTCAATCACTTTTATACCTATTAACATTATTAGGATCGGGTGGACTTTGATCGAAGAGTCGAATGGAGAATCCTACAATTGTAGATCGATGTAGTTCGGATTCGATTTTTACCTAAATTTAAATATTTTTTGCACTATTTTTACGTGTTAAATGGTTTCTCTGTGCTTTTCTGCAAAAGTTTATTTATTTATTTATTGATGAAATTTACAACTGTATTACAAGTAAAAATACATTCAGTAAATGTGAACAAAAGAATATAATAGCATGAAATCATTTGTTGAGAAACTACCCACTGGTAGCACTCTAAAAATGTATTTACAAAAGGAGATCTCGAGGCCATCTTCTTTTCAGACGCCTCGGAGGGTTGTCAGGGATCGAAAAGGAAGCAAGGTTAGAAACGAGAGGGTTAGGATGGTTGTGAAGTTTGTTATGAAAGGAAAGGTATCTGGATTGGGCCAGGTCAGAAACATACGGAACATTAAGGTCGTTATGGATGATTTTATTGTGAAAAAGTAAGGAGCTGTGAGGATTTTACGAAGGATTTTGGATTGTAAGGATTGGATACGAGAGGAATTCGATGGCTTAGTGGAGCCCCAGAGCTCAATTCCGTAAGTCCAAATAGGTCTTATTGTAGTCATGTATATGAGTCTTTTGTAATTGACTGGGAGCTTAGAGCGTTTGTCTAGTAAGTGCTGGAGTAGTCGGAAACGTCGAGCTGTTTCTTGTCGTTTCAGTCTGGTATGAGGATTCCAAGTTAGACGTTTGTCTAAGTGGAGTCCAAGGTATCGAATTTGTTCAACAGGGATAAGTGGGATATTATTAAAGGATACTGTAGGACAAGAGGACATAGGTTTACGACGAAGGGTAAAGGGGATTTGATGGGATTTATTGGAATTTATTTTGATCCTCCAGTTTTGAAACCATTCTTCAAGGTTTGTGATGTGTGATTGAAGGGTTTGGGATGCAATTAAGGTCGTTATTAATTGCTAGGACACATGTATCATCGGCATACGTGGTAATGACAGTGTTAGGATGGGTTGGGATATCAGCTGTATAAACTGTGTAAAGGATAGGACCTAGGATAGTACCTTGAGGAACACCAGCGGACTGGGAAAAAAGGGATGAATAGGCATTATTATGATTTACTTTGAAGGATCTATCAGTTAGATAGGAACGGATAATGAGGAAGTATGTAGGGTGTAGGAATTTATGGAGTTTGTAAAGCAGTCCTGGGTGCCAGACTCGATCAAAAGCCTGTTCTACATCGAGAAAGACTCCCGTGCAGTACATTCCGCGCTCCAATGCAGAGGAGACAACATCCATCACACGATGGCATTCTGAAAAAGTTAAAATTTAATTTATCTTTCAGGTAGCTGCAGTCACAGGAGATCTTACATGTATTATGCAGAGAGCATAAAAAATCCTCTTGCTTTCGTTGCTACGCCTTGCTTGGAATGGAAGGTTTTCAAAGCTAAAGAGTGTGGGCATGCTTATGCTAAAGTAAACATGGGCGAGTTCACGCCTAACTGGTAAGTATTTTAGTCCAAACTATTCTGATTTAGTCTAAACTAATTCTCTATTTATTGCTTTGCCAATAAATTTGTTATTTAAATTTATTTAAATAAGTATTTGTTTACTTTAATCCTTAGGTCAACAGTAAATCAAACGTGACAGCTTGGTTGGAAATAATAATTTCTCCCATGATGTTATTCTGGTTTTAAATGTTGGCTAGAGCATCTTAGGTCCCATCCTTTACACAGTATATACAGCTTACATCCCGATCTATCCTTCAACTGTCCTCACTACCTATGCTGATGAAACGTGTGTGTTGTCCGTCAATAATGAACCAACTATTGCATCACAAACCCTGCAGTCACACATTTCAGCCATTGAAAAATGGTGTAAAAATTGGAGAATAAAAATTAATCCAAATAAATCCCAAAAAATTACTTTTACCCTTCGCCGTAAACCTACAACATCCTGTCCCACCGTATCCTTTAACAATATTCCACTGATCCTGTTGAACAGATCCGTTAACTAGGACTCCTTCTTGATAAACGCCTTACCTGGAATACTCATACTAGACTTAAAAGACAAGAAACTGCCAACAGATTCCGACTACTACAACACTTACTTGACTAACGCTCTAACCTTCCAATATTCTACAAAAAACTCATTTACACTACCATCATCAGGTCCATTTGGACATAGGTATTGAGCTTTGGGGCTCTACAAAAACATCAAATTCTTCTCGTATCCAATCCTTACAATCCAAAATCCTCCGTAAAATCCTAACTGGTCCTTATTTTGAAACAAATAAAATTATCCATAAATACCTCAACATTCCTTTTGTGGAAGACTTGACCCGAACTAGATATACCTCTTTTCATTCCAAACTCTTTGGTCATCCCAATCCTCTAGTTTGTAACCTTTCATCCAACACAATTCCTGACAACCCTCCGAGGCGTCTGAAAAGAAGATGGCCAAGGGACCTCCTAAATTAATTTATCTTGTGTGTTACCAACGGGTAGCTTCTTCACAAGTAACTTCATGTAATATATTCCTATAGCAGATTTACTGGTTGTGTATATGTTTACAGTTGTAAATTTCAATAAAAATATTTAAAAAAAAAATGTTGGCTAGATGTTTTAAATGTGTGATGTTTAACTAAAAGTTCTTAGAGATTTTATAAATTGGTAATAACACAATAAATTAAATTTTTGTTGTTGCAATATTGTGAAGGAGTATAAACTATGGTAATAATATTTTATCAAAAATAAAATATTTTTCAAAACATTTATTTGACCTTTTTGATTGTTTCAGGGCTTCAGGAGCTTACTACTTGTACACCAACAAAAGACCGCCATATAATAAACCTTAAAGTTATTGTGAGGACCATTCCTTTGAATTAAACAAATAAAATAATTGATCAAAAAATAATTCTTATTTTTACTGTGTATCTTTATTCAGATTAAAAGATAACCCTTTCGATCCGCATGTGATTTTTAAAGCTTACTTTTACACTTTAATAAAATGCTACAATTTTTGCTTTTATTGTTAATTTATTTGGTATAATATGGTTACTTTTTAAAATAAAACACATCCTTATGCATCTGAACAATAATTTATAACTGTTCACTTTAATTCCCCTTTATGTGTTGCCACCCAGTACTTAATGATGTAGATTAATTATGGCCGTAACATCGAAGGAATATATCTAACATCAACTATTTAAGTCGGAATTCAATTCAATACAATGAGGACTGTAAGTGTTAGCCATCGTTACACACTGATCTGGTAGAAATTAACCGTAATACTTTATTAGATATAATGTAGAGGGACGAAGAGAAAGTTCATTCTGTTTTCACATTTGCTCCTGTATTGGTTGGTTTTAGCTTGTTCGAAGAATGAGAATGAGAGAAGATGTTATGAGGTTTGTAAATATTAGCCATCATAATACATTGATGAAGTGAAATGAAAAATAATTTTATTCTGGGACTGAAGTCCCCTTAGAATAATAGTAGAGTTAAAAAAATATGTACATTAGTCTGGCATGTAGGTATCATACAAATATATACACAAAAATACTCCGGAAATACTGTATATATATATATATAATATATATATATATATATATTATATATATATATACAGTATATATATATATATATATATATATATATATATATATATATACAGTATATATATATATATATATATACTCTAAGAGAAAAATAAAAATATATAAATAAAATAAAAAGGACAATATAAATATCTACAAAAAATACTAAGGAAAAACACATTTATTTAATAAATACTGAGATATAAAAAAAGCGAACAAATAAAAAATAAAATTACTTCTATCAATTAACTGCTGGTGATCAGCGTAATTATATAACCCAGAAATTTTTAAAAGCTTGCGGATGTTTGAGTTTGTAATAGGTGGTGAAATAGGAGTAGTTTGAACGAGTTTATGGACGTGGTTTGACGTATGGAGATGGGTGAGGAGTTCCATAAGGAGGTAGCACGATTGACGAAGGATTTACTGAAGGAAGTGGTTTTATGGAAGGGGATATATAAATCTATAGGTTGAGATCTGGTGGTGAGAGAGTGGATATAGGAGCGTAAAGTAAGGAGCTCTAAGATGTAGGGAGGGTTTTTGATTCTGAGGACTTGGAAAAGAAAAACACCAGGAAGAAATTGCCGTCCGGAAGTAGAGTATAGATACTTCAACTCAGTGTAACAACAAGAAATATGAGAACGCTTAGGAATCCCAAAAATAAATCTTATCTTATGAATCTTATGATCTGGTAGAGATTTACCATAATACTTTATTAGATGATCTACTACGAATGAGATCAATTATTAGTGAACATTTTTTATACTTGATTAGCATGTAATAAAATCCCATGAACTATTTCAATGCTTATCAGGTGATAATCGTCTAAAACCATAAATGAAAATCTTGATGGGATAAAATCATTATTTAAAAAAATATTTATTAAAATAAAAACTTATCTAGTAAATGTGAACAGAGAGTTATAAAAATAACTTATAGATTAACTACTCATCAGTAGTACTCTAATAAAATTTCTACAATAGTTGATCACTAGGCCATCTTATTTTCAGGCAACCCGTAGAGCTTTCATGGATCGAAAAGCAAGAATAGAAACGAGAGGATTAGGATGGTTTTGAAGTTTTTTATGGAAGGATAGGTTTATGGATTGGGCCAAATCGGAATCATATGGAACATTAATGATGATATAGATGATTTTATTTTGTGACAAAGTAAGGATGTTGGATTGTAAGGATTGGAAACAGGAGGAGTTCGATAGTTTAGTGGAGGCCCAAATTCCAAATAGCTCTCGGTATTCCACATAGGCCTTGTTACAGTAATAACTAAAAAATAAAATAAAAACTTAGTTGATGTAATTTTATAAATATACGGATCAGAATAATTTATTTACTCATAGTTACATTCTTTTCAGAATGAGTAGGATTACCATGATTATTCATTCCAATTTATAAAGTTTTATTTATGTTATTTTCAAAATAATGAAGAAAATTAAATTCTTGTCTTCCCAGCCTAGAGAGCCATCTAAAAATAGAAAGAAGAATTTTTAGCAGAATCTACGGACATAGGAGGACAGCTGAAGGATACAGGTTGAGGTCAAATGAAGAAATATATGAGGAAACAACAGATCTAAAAACTGATGCTAAGGTGGGATGAATCATGAAAGGCTTAACCATAAAATTTTTCAGCGAATACACAGTCATAAAAATTTAAGCGGGTATAAAAATTTCAAACAGGTTAAGGATGAGATGGACCAAGTGGGGCTAAGAGACCAAGATTGTTTGGACAGATGTGTACAGGAAGGCGCTTAAGGGAATAACGGTTCTTGGGGGAAAGAAGCGCTCCAAAAACGGTGTTGCGTGGTCGGAGGAGAGAAAACGTAAGCACGCGGAGCTCATGAGGGGCATATGGGAGAAGAGGAGGCAGATGAAGAGGAAGCATTGAAATCGTGATATTCGCGTGGTCTTTAAGGCCTGTTCGTGAAAAAAATTAATAAAATTATTTATTACTATTGCATATTCAATGAACTTACATCTCAAAGTTATGGCAGTCACAACTTTTGTTGTTATTGTTTTCAAGGATAATGGCTAGTGGTATCTATGCATAACATAACTTTTTTATTTTGATAAACAATTTGAGAAAAACCTCGTAAATCCTATATGATCCGGGGTTCTTTCCTAATATTTCACTCAATTTAGGGTAAGCGCACCAGTGATTGACATAGCTGAGGAAAGCTTTGTTTTTTTTTTTACTTATGCCACTGTAATTATTATAGTTATAAACTTTTCCGTTGGACATTTGGAATCTCTATTGTCTCCTTTTTCTATTTAGCACTTTAAAATTGAAAAAAAAAATTCTGTTATACAGGTATATTCTCCAAAAAAAAAAAAAAACTTTTTGCACTAGTGATGGATACCAATTCAATTGTTCTAGTAATGGACAGGGTCTCGGTAACAGTTATGGATATAACTCAGCAAATTCTATTTTACTTTCTAAATAAAGATAAGATAAGATAAATGTTCAACTTACTCTTAACAAAGCTGTTACTAGGAAGGTAAGAAACACACTGATCTCAAGAGCACTATAGAAACAACAATGAGTAGAATTTTAAAATTTTCTTTTGGGAACTTTGTTCGTACAGTTTTTAATAGAGGGTATTGTTCTTCAATCTAGAAAAAACTTGAACCTTTAAATCAACAACAAAGCTTATTATTTACATTTAAAGTCCAATCTGTCCATCGCTGTGGATCTCCTGTCTATAACTGATGAGTTCGTCCTATTTTGTTGAAAATCTTGCGAAATTATTATTCCATGAAAAAAATTCTCTCTCCTAGTCCTTTCCGAATTTTCAAATGATTTGGAGTCAATTAATCATAAGATCCTCATTTCCAAACTTCAAAAGCTTGTCATATTAAACAGTATTTTAAAATTTATTCACATTGTCTCACCCTCCCCAAATAGTTATATTAAACCTCATCTTCGCCCTTCAAATGATACCAGGTGTTTCTCAGTGCTAAACACATACACCAAATCATTAACGATCTTCCTGATTTCATTCACTACTCACAAACTCACTACTTAAGTGATGATGAATTTCAAATTACCATTCTTTCTTTCCTATTGAGAATTCAAAAGTTACAAGAAGATGTTGATAGTATCAAAACATAGACAGAAACCAATTAATAAAGGTGAAATGC